TTTATAAAAGGTCGACATTTCTCGTCAAATGTTAGTTTAATAGAATGTTTCGTACTGAAAAGTGGAAAACGCGTATAAAGTGCTTAAATGAATCGCGAATATTTAAAAAAATATTAATTTTATAAATTCTCGCATTATAGAATAATAATTTATATTACAATGTATTTATAATATACAAATTACTTATATAATTCCAATTAGTTTAAAAATTTTAAAAAAGAATAAAGATAAAAATATTTATTTTGCGATTAAACAAGCAAAAAAAATTCCTTTGTTACTTTTCTTTAATTGCGAAAAATTTCGATTGCAGCAATGCACCAATCACGTAAAAGATATTTAAGGACGTGTCTTGATTGGTTAGGCCTTGGTATCCAAAAGTTTATAAAAGGTCGACACTTTTCGTGAAATGTCAGTTTAATAGAATATTTCGTGTTGAAAAGTAGAAAACGCGTGTAAAGTGCTTAATTGAATCGCGAATATTTAAAAATACATTAATTTTATAAATTATTACTTTATGGAACAACAATTTATATTACAATGTATTTGTAATATATAAATCATCTGTATTATTTCAAATAGATTACAAAGTTTAAAAGAGAATAAAGATAAAAGTATTTATTTTGCGAATAAATAAGCAAGAAAGATTCCTTTGTTACTTTTCTTTAAATGCGAAATATTTTAGTAGCAGCAGTACACCAATCACGTAAAAGATATTTAAGGACGTATTCTGATTGGTTAGGCATTAGTATCCAAAAGTTTATAAAAAGTTGACATTTTTCGTGAAATATCAGTTTAATAGAATATTTCGTGTTGAAAAGTAAGAAACGCGTGTAAAATGCTTAATTGAATCGCGAATATTTAAAAATATATTAATTTTATAAATTCTCGTATTATGGAATAATAATTTAATAAAATAACAATTTCTATTACAATGTATTTATAATATACAAATTATCTATATAATTCCAATTAGTTTAAAAATTTTTTAAGAAAGAGAATAAAGATAAAAGTATTTATTTTGCGAATTTCTGCGATTTTTCTTTAAATGCGAAATATTTTAGTAGCAGCAATTCACCAATCATGTAAAAGATACTTAAAGACGTATCCTGATTGGTCGGCCCTTGGTACAGAAAAGTTTATAAAAGATCGACATTTTTCGTGAAACGTCATTTGAAGAGAATATTGCGAGTTTGAAAACAGAAAACGCTTGTAAAGTGCTTAAATGAATCGTGAATATTTAAAAGTATGTTAATTTTATAAATACTCGCATTATGGAACAACAATTTATATCACAATGTATTTATGATAATAAATATGAATTACTTAGGTTATTCGAACGATTTGCTTAAAAACATTTATTTTGCGAATAAGTAAACAAAAAAATTTTCTTTTTTTTTATTTGCATGCTAAAAAACTTGTGAAAATATAATAGGAAAATGAGTAGAATTATCTAGAGGTTAAATACTTCTCTATACTCTTAAAATAATAGTAAATAAAAAAATAAGTTCAAGTTATTGCAAGAAAAGAAGAGTAGGAATTTTTAAAGCAGGAAAAATTTTCAAAAATTATTAAGGCATAACTTAATGTCTGAATAAGGAAAAAAAGATTTCTTGTAATTTTTCTTTTAATGCGAAATATTTTAATAGCAGTAGTACCAATCGCTTAAAAGATATTTAAGAACGTGTCCTGATTGATTGAGCCTTGATATCCAAAAGTTTATAAAAGATCGACATTTTTCGTAAAACAATTGAACAAAATGTTGCATGTTCAGGAAAGAAAAGCATGTAAAATATTTGTATTAAATCTTTAAATAAATCGCGAATATTAAAAATATAGCAAATTTATAAAATCTTAGTTTATGTAACAACAATTTACATCACAATGTATTTATAATATATAAATCATCTATATTATTGTAATTAGCTTACAAATTTTGAAAGAGAATAAAGATAAAAC